ATGCGGCACGAAGATCGATGAAGGTGGAGTGTCAGAAAGGCTGGAACAGGCGACACTGCTGAATGATCTGACAAAGAGCTGACAAGAGGCAGGTAGTGTCTACTATAGCAACATGATCACCTGAATGGCTGAAAACGTTGTAAAGCGCCAGCCATTCACTGGTGTCCTTCCGTAATGAATTTAATTGCTACATGAGGGCGAGTCTCAAAATTTAACCATGAAAACTTACAGTTAAGGTAAAGCTGCTATAGGCTATAAAAAAGGATTATCCTTAATCAATTCTGCACCTATGAATAAATCTCATGACTCGACAAGGGAAACAACGGTCACATTAGAAACAAACGATGAACGAAAGAATGAAGGCTGGGAAAATTTAAATAACGCCTTACAACCTTTTATAAGTTTAAGATCGACGCGGCTTACCTGGCGGAAAGCCAGTTCATCAGTGATGTCGAATAAAGACTTTTCCACCTCCTCCAGAGTTGCGCGCATATCTGGGTCTAATTCAGCCTCTTCTACAAAAGATCAACCGAAATATATTATATTCATTCATAAATTTGCAGCAATTGTCCCTCAGTAGCGTGAAATTAAAACCGACAGCACTTCTGGCTAAAACATCAATCAAAATCAAAAAAAGATAATGGAAAAAATTCATGAAGATTGTCGTATTTTTCTAATCTCTACGTTGGCTACATTTCCCGCATGCATCAGATTCAGAAGACGATTTTACGCATAGGGATTTCGTTGATAATATTTATGGAAACTTGCATAATCTGGGCTGTGAATTCAAAAAACCTCTTTCGATATCTGTCTTTGCATTTGATAGCCTTGAATCACATTACAACTACACTAATGTGATAAGTGATTGAATGGTATAAGTGCATTTGAAAGTTAGAAGTAACCGTTTAAACATCTTTACCTTATATTTCCACAATATTGGCAAATTACGCAGCCGTTCTTTCCATAGAGTTGATGCTGTGGCGATGATCTAAGATTTTACGCCATCGGTTGTTAATTTACCTTTTAGGCAATGTCTACAGCTACGTGGCAAGTACAGTACGTAGCCTCCAGTTTCCTTCCCCACAAAGTAGAACTCCCATATGGTTCAGGGGTTACAGCTGTTCCAGTTCTGATGTTTCAAGCGAAATGATGCATCAACGCTCTGCTTGCGTTTGGCTCCCTGCAATAAGTGATAACCGCTACCAATTTCCTTCGCCTTAACCATCTAAGTGCCACAATGGCAGTACGTGTAAGAAAGCGACGGGCAGCAAACGTTACTCGATAACACTCACTGTGCAAATGGCACTTTCGGCACGCAGTGCTAACACCCAGTTGGATACCCTAAGAGCTATAAACCTGGCAGCAGGATCATAAATTGCTGGAGGATTTTTCAGTCTGCCTCTAACAACTTATTGTCATAATAGCAGTTTTATTTGTGGCAACTGCTCTGAGGATAAAGTTCAGGCGGCAGAAGCAGAAAACAACTAGTAGCTAATTTATTAAAAATGCGCTTTGGTATATCGGATCGTTACGAACTAGAGGAACGTTCAAACGCGCCTACTATCGATCAGTGGCCAGCACATCAAATGGAAGAGAAAACTAAACAGAGAACTGTTGCCGACGAAGAATCTCCCCTTCGTCTACACAGTTACAATTTCCTAATATCAAAATTCGATAAGTGGAGTTAAGTGAACATCACAAATCTTTAACAGCCTACATATTTATAAGGATGCTAAGGAAAAGGGTAGAAATCTAGTCTCCATCTGAATGTCGGTCTTCCTTCACTTTCATTACTGGGCCATTTTGGCGCCCTTCTTTTCACGAAACTGATGGTGCGGTGCTGATCTACGTTTTCATGTCATCAGCCAGGAGCGCCTTATTTTTAATGACAGAGTCTACAGCTATGTGGCAAGCGTCGCCTACAGACTCTTCTTTCGTTCCCACGGAGTGGCATTCATTTATCGATATCAGAGAAAAGAAGAGTAAGTGACCGTGATCTGGACTTGAGCTCGGAACCTATCGGTTCTGGGTTCGACGCACTACCGACTGATCAACCCCGGTGTGAAACAGTGTGCGGATGCCAAGGATGAGGATGACAAACAAAGAACAACTAATTAAAGGTAACGTTTAGAAATTGTTGGAGTTTGCGCATGACCGACTGCAGTACTTGTGTGAATGTTAAGGTTTACCAACTTCTTCATGCCTTCACGTCAATCTGCCTGGAGAAGGTCCCTATCTACAAAGGCGTCACAACCCATACGAAATGATGGGGGTTAATCTTCCGTATTAATTCCAAGTGACAACATCGTAACATCTTTCACCACATCGTCTACCATACCCCTAACGGATGATGACCACTCATAAGCAAAACGAACGGAAGGTCCGAAACGTTTTTTATGGTCTTATGGCAGATCTCAGGAAATGGAAAGAAAACTAACATACTTCGAATCATCTGGCAATTCAAGTCATAAACAGTTGGTAAAATAATGTTTTTAAGCTTGCTTATTGATGTCACCATTCCTCTGCCTACGGGTAGTATTGTCAGTGTAATCTGTCGCTGCAGAAATTGCAACAGCATTAAAACAGAAACCACAAAAAATTTCTCTGAATATGTGAAAAAATGAATGATGACTGATTTACTAATTTGAATGTAAAAAATGCATCTATCCCAACATTCAGAACACATTTGCAATTTTGATGAGCAAAAAGGCATTTTATTCATTTTTAACGTTCGATCATATGGAAAGAAACTTATAAGATGGAAGTCTATCACAGTTCGTCACAGAGAAACGGCTTCCAACGGTTTACATTCAATCATTCGCATGAAGTAGAGAAATGCATTGATAAAAACCGTCAACCTATGCTAAACGCCGAGCCATGGTGAAAACAGTGCTTGTAATTAACTGCTTTACATAACTGTAGAACTCAAAGGAAAGCGTCGTAGAAAGTCTTTTCCAATCAGTTAGTATTACCGTCAGAAAGAAAAGCAAAGCCATTAATTTACGCCAAGGTTAAATTTACTGGTTAGCGTATATGCGAAAGTTGAGCGAAATCTTGGAAAGGATCCTCTCACCTCTAGACATGCATAGAGTACTTATTGTTTACGTTTCAACTCAAGCTCAGCAGTGGATCAACCCTTGTTGGGACGAAACAGTTCAAAGAAGAGAAGTGTGGGTGAATTAATTTCATTACTAACAAGCGAGATTCGCATAGGCGCAAACGTAGCGAAGTTTACATAAGAGAAGCGGATAACACCATCAAAGCAAAAAATGAGCATATTCACAAACTTTACAAGATGGAACCATGCTCACCTTAAGGAAAAATGGCAATACGCTGCAAGGGAAAAGTAGCAGAAAGCAACGGACTATCGTGTTGACAATAAATAAATTTTTTGAAAGTGTTCGTAGTACTAATTAAAGTATAGAGTACGTCTTTTGAAGAATTTAAGAAGAGAGGCAATGGTTTGAACTTAAACTTCAACGGTTTATGAACAAATATGACGTTACGGAAATAAGTCATTTCCCGCAGAAGATGACTTCTATATAAGACGAGATCCTACCACAAAAAAAAGAAACCCCGGAGTAGCTTATAGTCCGAATTGCATTTGCGGCGACACGTATATCGGCCAAATGAACGAATGCCTTGAAATTGGATACGGGGACATATGATCTGCCTAAGCAGTGCATACGATAAAGGTTCAGTGGTGACAGCATCATAAAGAACCACTTCATCCAGTCGCAGTCTAACAAGATAATTCGAAGAGACTGAAACTAGAGAAAAATAATGATATTGGAAGTCGTAATAACGGAACAAACAAGCACCAATTCAATAGACGGAAAGGGATGTACACGATTATCTAAGCTTGGGTAACGTTGCTTCATCATCAAGGCTTCACCATCTAACACTGTTGTATCGTTTTTCCTATGTGCTCTTTCCTGCAGTATATCATTGTGCCTCTAACACAACTGAATCCGAGTGCCTCTTCTAGCCACGAACTTGGCTTTAACAAGACTCGCCACCCCAACGGGAGAAGAATAACACCAAGCTTGGCCTTTCTGCAGATAGTTTACAGTGAGATGCATCATCGTTGCTCTGGAATGAACAATAATCGCACACTCGCATCTGTTTTAATTTATTTTATCTATAAATTAAGCACATAAATGTAAACGTACTTAGTTCAGCAAATTGTTTATGAAATTTAAGTTCAAAACAGTGCCTCGATCGGCTTGCAACATCTTCGGAAGACTCACCCTCTACATGAATGATCCTAATGCCACCAAGGCTGAATGCAGCAACAACAATACGGTTGTTATGTTACATTACCGAAAAGCAAATACATATTTGAAAATTAAACAATCCTATTTTATGCAGGAAATATATTTCATGGTCGTCATGATTCTTACGGAATTGTTCCACATATACAGGTGTGTAAAGGTGCGTATGCTGAGAAATCTCGTAATAAACATAAAAACCATGGAATATAAGAATACATATATCGCAAAAAAGACCTTGTCAACCTTCATATTTACATATTTTCTAAATTGTTTACCATCCGTCGGCATATCCACCACTGAAACATCTTCTTCGTCGTCATCATTCATTTTCATGACCTGAAATCGACAGTATTATCATCAATTCAATAAAAGATGCTCTTCATAGCGTCTGATGCTAAAGTTAGCAACAAATGTACACAATAGGCTGGATATTATTTTAAGCCAAAATTCTGGCCGTTACAAAACCACTCATTTGTTTTAGGGGTTAATCATTTGCAGCGCATATTTAAATAAAAAATCTGCACTTCTAAATCGACTCAATAATTTCATTCAAAACGTTCCATGAGTCTTGGTATAGAGACCACTGCTTTCTCAGATTGAGAAGTAGCAGCTGCGATTGTTTGGGAACATTTTGCTAATCCCTCCCAAAGGAAAGCAAAGCAACAACTTCTTGCCCAGCCGACCGGCAGAAAGCCCAGAGAAGAGCCAAGATTAACCTGGTGCAAACATATGGAAGGAGTCTACTCTATACTCCGATTGTCTTCTACTAAAGCTCAGTCTCTGGCACAGGACAGGGAACGTTGGAAGCACCTTCTGACGCGTATGCCTCCGCGATCCGAAAGTAGAAGCATCTATGGTGATGATAATGTTCTAGAGAAGAGCTCGGAGGAGCGCATTCAAAACACATTTCATACATTCTATATAGAAAGATATTCGTCTTCGTTCATTCTGATGACCGCGGAATCTAAAAAACAGGGTTATTCGGACCTTGTGTGTTATCCATCCTGTTCTTTGAAACGATATTTTCAACAAATATCCTCTTTCAAAATAAAGTTCACTTAACTTTAGTACCACTGAAAAGAAACAATTTTAACTAACAATAGAGAGTGACGCCTACTATGGTGCGCAGAATGGACCACGGCAGTTAAGAGCATAGATTTTATGAATTCGATTACTGGAAACGAAATAAGTAGAAATATTTCAATATTTTAGGTTCTAGGCTCAGAACTTACTTGAATCCCATTCAATTCCCAAATCCAGTCGTCTGTGTTCGATACGTTTATGATATAATGTACTGATTTCAGCTATCAGGGATCCAGTAGATTCTTATCAGCTACGAGATTCCGTCATGGAAATTGAGCAGTGGACAGAGCTCAACAGTTTCAACATCAACAGTAGCATGAAAGTTGAAAACTTGCCTCATGAAAGGTAACATGTCAAGACATCTGTTTTTAGCAGCTGCACAAAGAATGAGGAAATAGTTTACCGTGTAGCGCTATCTACAGCGTGTGCAACGCGGTAACTTAGTAACTCGTTGCTGACGGATGATAGCCATTCCTTACAACTGAAGTTCAAACAAAGAGTTTCTTTTCGTCCAGGTACCAGAAGCAGAGGCAGTGCTATTCCTGCGCACACTGGAATTTACGGCAAGTCAATACTACACTTCCTGTTTAGGACGCTACGCAATCCATAGAAGCAGAAACGTATCATTTCAAAAAGCTTTTAATCGCAACATCCCAGGCGCTCAGTCCTTTCATTGTTGCATTGTATACTATATTTTACAGAGATCCTGTCGTGCGCTGATAGCCTAAGCGAAAAAAACTTCTTATTCTTCTTCACAACAGAGACTGAGCTGCTTTCATAAACCTGAATCGGGGGGCCATCTCTCTAGAAAACCTCTTATAACCTTCCATTATGTCTGTTTAAAATAAAATTTATTAGAAGCACAGTTTAAACAACACGTTAAAAACCGGATACAGCAATACATGTTTAACGATGTACAAACTGAAGTAGACAAAATTCATAAAAAAATTCTAAAAACAGATAGATAAAACGGATAGTTCTTCGTTCATTCATCCGCTTCTTTTCGTCTAAACATCACTTTTTGTCACTGTTTATGCTAAAAACTACGAAATTAAACAAACAACAATTTGCAAAACCTCTGGCACATTCACCATCATTTCAGGCACAGGTTTCTGAAAATCACTGCTATATCAGTTACCTTACTTTACATGATTCTCCTATGCATCTTCATTCATTTCACTGCTTTTAAAATAATTAGATCACTGTTTATTAAATATAGTAGCCTATTTTAAAATCTTCCACCGTCTAAACCCAAATTAAACAAAGAAACGCTACAACAGACAACGCATTGAAAAGCTGAAGAGTCGACAACCGAAACATTCCCGCCAAACATTTTAAGCCGTTCATAATTGCCTACAGAATGCTAGTAGAGACGCAGGATGAGGCAAATCTGAAGTTCTTTAACCTAAATGATCAGACTCCAATATTTGTGTTATACTATCTGTGTTAAATATCAGTTAATCAAATTTAAAGACATTCGTCAAGCATGGTGTAGCTCTGCACTTTCTAGCAAAGTGGCGCACACTGTTGCACACCCTTTGTCGTCGCTTATTTTCTTCGTCACAAGAGTTCTACGATTCCATATAACGGCTCCTAACCATTAACTTCGTTAGCCTGTGTCTACTCCTCCTCCTTTGTGGAATAAATTTTAGGTTTCTGGAAAAATATAAAGCTTAATGTTTGCTCAATTCCATCGTTGGATGTACAAAAAATAAGAAGCATTTTTTCAGTCATTTCAGTGCTGTCTTGTGCTGCAATGAAACTAAGCACTCTCCTTCTGTTGTGAGGAAAAAATCACATATCCAGCTTCTCTTTACAAACTTCTTTGTTCTGCCTAGTTTGCAGTTGCAGCCACATATACAAAAAATGCCATAAGCAGCCTGAGGTACATTCTTATTTATGCTTTATTATAATTACTTTTTGGTATATTGGTTTTTAACAGGCAGCATTTGTTGATAAAATGTTTCACTTTTTGCTGAAGTTTTTTGAATATGAAGTAGTGAAATGATGGCAGTTCGCAAATATGTCCAGAATGTATTCTGAGCCAATTTTCATTCGCATAAGAATCATTTCGTTTTCGTCCATGCTCAAAAGCAGAATTATCTCGCAATTATTTTCAATCGGTACACTGTATATTTAAAATTACTCGTGATCCTATATATCCTACTTCAAATTCACTTACTCCTTTCGTGCAAAGGAGGGTAATACGCAAAAGTCACTGCCAATATCGTCCAATCAGAAACAGCTCTAATGAGTGCAACAAGTATGAGACAAGAAATTGTTTCCGGCAAAG